CACAACACAGCATCGTCCGACTCGAGCCCATCAGGATGTCAATTCCGTAGGGCCTGAGCCGCCGAGTTAGCTCTCAGAGAGGGAGATGCTATGGAGAGTGCGGGAGATCCTCATCTAGATTGCTGAACTCGACCTTCAGGAGTAGCCCAGACAGTCACCTTAGATTCAGCGCTCTCTTGGTGATAGTAGGAGGGGAAATATACGGGAGTCATAACCGTCACGGTTTCGACTCCGCATTACGTGGTGCCGCAACTTGAATGATCTCCTCGACTGTTGCCAACTCAGCCTGGTCACGGCACTAGGCAGGCACCTCAGACATTGGATGCAGGGGCGTATGGTGAGTCGTGAAGTGACACTTGAATGTGGCTTGAATGAAGATGCTTGATATCAACAACTAGTGTTATTGAAGAATGACGCTATTCCTTGCATGGAAAAGTGGTGATTTTCTTTTTCTTTCTGCCCGGTCTCTCATATCGCGTATCATCAGTGTGGCGTTGCTAGTCGGTCACACCTCCTTACCGTCTGTCGTAAGTTACCTCCTGATAGCCCCCCCCCCACCAACTGCATGAGTGAGTCAGCTCAAGGCATTGCTCTCTGCATAAGAGATCTCTACCCACAGGATTACGACGATGAGCAGTGCATAGTGTGTTACACCCCCACTCGGGTTCTTGACCTCCAGTGCTCCATCTGTCGTGTATACGTGTGCAAGGAGTGCTTGCCGCAGCTACAGAAACCGGCTGAATGCCCCCATTGCCGTTCCCATAGTATCTGGCAACGATTAAACGCGGCGGGGCTCAGGATGCACAAGATGGTAATATCCTTCCTGAGTGAGTGCATCATGGGCACACTGGAGGGGGCAGCGACAGGACTGCCGCCGATGGGGAGGAGGAGGACGTCGCTAACTGGTGAGGTAATTTCGTGGCGCGTGACGGTTTGCGATGGCTGTGGCTCGGTCATGGACAGCATATGCCATTGTAGGGTATGCGATGGTTGTTCAGCTGAAGACAACAGCGGAGCGGAGTTTATTAGTTGGTCCTCATCCGGGCTGTATACACCATCTCTGTTGGTAGTGGAGGCAAGCACTATCCTGGAGAGCATTCTTACCTTTATCAAGGGATATCATGGTGTTGACAACGCCCTCCAGGGGGCATCTGGTCTGTCGTCGGAGTTGGCATTGCCCGAGGCTTCCGACAGTTGCACTACGGTTGATATGGTCACCAGTCATTGCTCTCGAGACACTACCCGCTGGTCGCTGTGATTCTGGATGCAACTGTGATCTGCTTGTTGGTGATGTGTGTGAGTGGCCCAATGAAGTTGAATTGCCCCAATGCTGCTGCTGCATGCTCGTCGTTGACTCGTCTCCTGCATCCGTTACATTGTCGAGTTGGATTATATCGTAACCTCCCCTCCAAAGTAACCTTCCAATTAGTATATGAGCGATGGAGATGGCTGTGCCGACTGGGCGGTGAACTCATTGACCAGGTCTGCAGGTCCTTGATAAGGGACTTCGATACAGCTATTGCTGGGCTGCCCACGTCTCTGGCTTCATCTCGTCACACCACTAGGGTCCCGATCACAATTACTCGATGGTCTTACCCATCCGGGCGAGGCGGCAAGGAGGATGATGGGGAAAGTTAGTCGCCGCTCGATGGCTACCTGTTGGGCCCAATATGGACTGCCGTGAATGTGTGGTTGGGCGTTGCTGCTGCTGATGCGATAATTATATGAACATGCTGTAGTATGATTGGGGACGTCGGTGGTAGTAGAGAAAATGACCCGAGGATATTGAGGTAGCGTTAGGACATGTTTGTTGGAATATATTTATTCATATCAGTGGGGGAATACTTGCAGAGTCGATCTATTGAGAACGCGTGCTTCGACACGTGAAGGGGTTGTAACACGATTTCCACGTCTCGGCTACTCACATGATGTTCCTACTACCCTTCTAGTGACTATGTGTAAGCCTTCGTCATCGTCATCATCAACCCTAGCAACCGACTACCATCAGCAACTATGACCTTAAACTTCACAGGCTACATATCTACTGTCCTCCACAGTGTGGGAATGTATGCACATGGTCAGCTACATGTGTTGCTGGGAATGTGGAAATTCTGAGGAAATTTTGGGAGGCAATATCGTTGATTTTCGTATACTTCTACCCAAAATCGTCTGGATTTTCAAAATGTAGTGAGGAAATTTTGCTGAGTTGAGGAAATCAAACACATATTCCCACACTGGTCCTCCATTTACCAACTCAATAACTGGATTTCATTTCTGTGTTGTAGAGTTTGCTCTCCTATGCCGTACCATAGCTCATGTCTATTCTCATTCACAATCGTGCTCGCTCGGCGCCCGTTGTCGTCACATCAGTGTGGTGTTAGTCCATAGTAGAGGGGGAGCCAGCAGAGTGGGTGGGGTGAGTTCTATCTGATGCTTGATGGCTACATATACTGGTCATCCTACTCGGGAGTACTCCTGTCTTGGAGCCCCCTATCTTATTACTGTCAATGCAGAGGACCAGATCATACAGGATGGATGTGTAGCGTGGGACACTCGGTGATACTACTCGGGGGGGGACGTTACCTTAGCGTCAGGACTGAACGGATAACACACGTATGTCCTACAGCTGAGCTCATGCATGACAGTACCTAGAGCACCACGTCCTCATCCCGGGCCTCATCAACTGCCACACTCATGTTGCTATGACCTTACTAAGAGTAGGAAGGCCTCCGATGCTATTGTGATGATGGGAGACGCCTTCCTCAGGGGTTTGCTGATGATTTGGAACTTATGGATTGGCTCGATCATTATATATGTCCCGCCGAAAAACGGTAGTGACTTTTCTCTCGAGTCGGGAGCTCTTTATATTTCGGGGTTCGTAGTTGCTTTCGGGCTCATTGTGTTGTTATCCTGGAGTATTGACATTAGAGAGTAGGTTCTTGTCGAAAGATTACATAACGTTGGGCACCCAGATGGGAGTTTACGAGATGCTCAAAACGGGTAGGTCTGGCTGTTATCAGCCGCCTGGCTCGGCCCCCCTCTGGGACCCACTGGAGTTTCACCACCCTAGTGATATGAGAAGTACTAGTGAAAAACACATTTCACGACTACTGCATATCACCGCGAACAAAGTCGCGTTTTAGGCCACTTCAAGTAGGACAGGTGTAACTCCACGGTTGATTTGTGATAGACTGGTCGAGTCGGCTGCTCCTCACGCACCATATGCTTCCTAGACATGGCCGGCTGACACCACAGCAGTCACCGTACCGGCT